AAAAAAAAAAAAAAAAAAGACCAGCAAAGAAGAAAAACAGAGTTTGGGGCCCCAATGACTTATGGAGTTCCTGTGCTAGCCCTAAAAATGCCTGTTTGTACATTTCTTTTATGGAATAACAAACTAAACGTCGACTGTTTAAGCCACTGCATTCCTTGTGTGACATATAATCCTAACCTGAACAAAACTCTAAAGCATTCTCATTCAGAAGCTAGTCACCTCATTTTGTTTGGAAAGGAGTCAAACAAGTAAGCCTGAAGATAGTAAAAGTTTCCTTAAGGAAAATTTGACAATCATAATAATTGTACTGCAACTGTTCTTTTGTCTACCCTATTAGACTGTGAGCTACTTGCAAAAAGTCCATATATTTTTATCTTTAACATTTAACAAAATGCTTGGCTGGTACCACATGGTTCATAAACTTCTGCTGAAGTGCATTTCCTTTCTGGAAATCTGCTACCAACTTTAGCTAATGTCTTACAATTATCTACATAATGTTATTCTGTTAATTTAGAACCATGAATAATTCATTTCTGTACTATAAAAAGAAGTATGTTTTTCTCTGAAAGTTGTTTTAGGGGAAAAAAAAGAACTGCCCATTTTGGGGTATGTTTCCAGATACCTGGCTGACATATTGTTTTCAGGAAGAAGGGGAATTTCCAGAACCTTTGTGCTGGCAATTATTATCTCTTGACTTGCAGTAGCAACAGTCTTCCCAGTGATTCGATGCACCTGGTAAAATGCATGAGGTCGTAAATATCGATCATCTGCTGTTCCAATAAACATCTGAAGATTTATCGGCTTTTCATTATAGCCCAGGAGCTAATTAGAAAGAACAAACAAAAATACAATTCATTATCCATTATATTTATAATAAGTTTACAACAGGAAGTTTATTATATCTGTAACATATATTATTGATACACAAAATGTTATTTCAAGAAGGTAACAATAAAAATGTAATAAGTGAACAATCTTCCAAATGTCAGAAGATTATGAGTTGTAAAATGCTGGAATGTTACAAAGGAATGAGGGGGTTTTGGTTTTTTTGTTTTTTGTATATATATCCGGAATAAAAATTTTGCAAAGCTTTCTTATAGAGTACTGTGAAAAACCACAAGGAAAGGGTGCCGACATGGCTCTGTTGGAAGAGTTGCAACTCTTGATCTTGGGATTGAGTCTGAGCCCCATGTTGGGTGTAGAGATTACTTAACAATAAATTAAAAAAAAAAAAAAAAAAGGTGCCTGGGTGGCTCAGTTGGTTGGGCATCCAACTCTTGATTTCGGCTCAGGTCATGGACCCAGAGTTCTGAGATCAAGCCTTGTTTCGGGCTCCGGGCTGAGTATGGAGCCTGCTTAAGATTCTCACTCTCTCAGCCTGGGTGGCTGTCAGTTAAGTGTCCAACTTCAACTCATGGTTCGTGAGTTTGAGCCCCATACCAGGCTCTCTGGTGTCAGAGCAGAGGCTGCTTCAGATCCTCTGTCTCCCTCTTTCTCTGCCCCTCCCCCAGTTTTCTCTCTCTCTCTCTCTCTCTCTCTCTCTCTCTCTCTCTCTCAAAAATAAATATTAAAAAAAAAAGAAGATTCTCTCTCTATCCCTCTGGCCCTCTCCCCAACTCGTGCTCTGCAAAGAGAGAAAGGAAATAAGGAAGAAAGGAAGGACAGACTGACTCTGTACTTTAGGCAACATTAACCATCCAGCCCAGACTTAAAAGATGTGGGTGTACAGGGGGCACCTGGGCGGCTCAGCTAGTTAAGTGTCCAACTCTTGATTTTAGCTTGGGTCATGATCTCACATTTTGTGGGTTCAAGCCCCATGTCGGGCTCCATGCTGACAGTGTGGAGCCTGCTTGGGGTTCTCTCTCCCCCCCTCTCTCTCTGCTCCTCCACTGAGTTCTCAATCAATCTCTCTCTCTCTTTCTCTCTCTCTCAAAATAAGCAAGTAAACTTTAAAAAGACTTGGGTGTACAGGAAGGTCCTCTAACAGGCTATTAAAATCAGAAAGTTTGTTTTAGTAAAAAAATCTCAAAAAGCCTATTATATATGTTATCAACTTAAAATTTCAACTGACTTAACAGGCTGGGCTACTTGACTTTCTCTGGTGTCCTTCACTATTTTTGAGGTTAAGATGTGTATATAGGAGTAGGACCAGGAGGTGCTGGAGGTAAAAATAGCAACCACCAAAAAAGGAGGAAAATAAAAGAAATAGAGCCTGAAGAAGTACACATATAGCACTTAGGGAGATTCCCCTGTCCAATCTGATGCTGACTAGCACCCAAATGACCCACCGTTATGCAGGTAACCAATGACAAACAGGAACAAACATAAAGAACTACTTCAAAGTATGGAGAGCAAATATAAGCATATACTGGAAGCAAAGTGACACATGCTAGAATTGTAACAAAACAGTGTTTCCTGTTTTTAAGGCTTTCAACCTGAGGGAAGGCCACAGACCATGCCTTACAAAGTGGTTGACTTTCCTGTACAAAATCTAGTCTTGAAGGGCCTCAAGAACCAAGGACAGAGTTTGGGACAACTTCAGCCTCTGAGGAACTCTGAGTTCCCTCAGAGTAAAAGGGAACTCCCAGAAAGGAGACAGCCAGAGAAGGGGAGCTCCAAGTTATACAAATAAACTTTGTCCAGTGCTTTGGCTGACCTGGAAACCATCCATAACAGGTCAGATCCCAAGGAGTCTAAGGCTAATATAACTGAAATGAGACTATGAGCTCCCACCAACCAGAGAGATTTTACAGGCTGACTCTAAACAAGTTAAGTGACTGCTTAAACAACAAAAAAAATTCATTCTTTGGGATTACATTTGGGTATATATGTATATCTGGTTTTGAATTGAATTTCTTTATATATTCTGAATCATTAATCCCTTGCAGATATAGGATTTTTACAAATATCCTTCATTCTGTAGGTTGTTGGGTTTTGTTTTGTTTTGTTTTTTCACTTTCTTGGTGGTGTCCTTTGATGCACAAGTTTTTAACTTTCATGGGAGTCCAATTTATCTAGTTTGTCTTGTTGGCCTGTGTTTTTGTTGTCATACTTGAGAAAGCACTGCCAAATCCAATGTCAAGACTTCCCTGAATGTTTTCTTCTAAGAGTTTTATAGTTTTAGTAAAGTCTTACATTTAGGACCTTGATCTGTTTTGAGTGTATTTTTGTCTATGATGTAAGGTAAGGGTCCAACTATATTATTTTGTGGGTAGATATCCAATTTTCCCAGCACCATTGGTTGAAAAGACTGTCCTTTCCCCCAGTGAATAGTCTTGGCATTCTGTAGAAAATGAACTGACCATGTGTGAGGGCTTATTTCTGGGCTTTCTATTCTATTTCATCAATCTGTTTGTATGCCAATACCACAGTGTTTTAAACACTGCACCTTTGTAGTAAGTTACAAGTTAGGAAGAGTAAGCCCTCCAAATTTATTCTTTTTCTGTGTTGTCTTGCTTATTTGAGGCCTCTTGCAATCCCACATGAATCTGAAAATATGCTTTTCCATTCAACAAAAAAGGCTGTTGGAATTTTGGTAGGAGCACTCACTCTCTAGATTGCTTTGGGGGGGGTACTGATGGCTTAATGTTAAGTCTTCCTATCTATGAACATGGATATCCATTTATTATGTGTACTTACATTTTATTTTTATTTTACTTGTTTCCATCTATTTTTCTTTCAGCAATATTTTATAGTTTTCAGCATATAAGTCTCGACACCTCCTTGGTTCAACATATTCCTAAGTATTTAATTCCTTCAGATGCTACTATAAATAGAATTACTTTTTAAATTTCCTCTTCAAGTTGTTCATCACTGGTACACAGAACCACAAATGGTACCTGTATTTTGATCTTCTACCCTGAAACGCTGAATTCTTTTATTAGCTCTAGTAGCTTTATTGTGGATGATGTGATATTTTCAATGTATAGGAATATGCCATCTATGAATAGAGACTATTTTACCTCTTCATTTGCAATTCAAATGCCTTTTATTTCTTTTTATTGTATAGTTCTGGCTAGGACTTTTAGCACAAATGCTTAACAGGAGTGGTGAAAGTGAGCCTCCTTACCTTGTTCCTAATCTTAACTCAGTCTTTTTTTTTTTAATGTTTATTTATTTATTTGAGAGAGAGGTAGAGAGTGAGTAGTAGAGGAGGACAGAAAGAGGGAGAGAATCCAAAGCAGAATCCAAATCCACACTGTCAGCACAGAGCCCAAAACAGGGCTCAAACTCACAAACCATGAGATAATGACCTGAGCCGAAATCAAGTTGGATGCTTAACCAACTGAGCCATCCAAGTGCCCCTAGCTTTCAGTCTTTTACCATTAAACATGATGTTAGCTGTGGGCTTTTCATAAATGACCTTTCATGGTAAGGAATTTTCCCCTTTTCCTAGTGTGTTGAGTGTTAGGGTTTTTTGGTGGCTTTTGTTTTTGTTTTTAATGAAAGGCTGTTGGGGCACCTGGGCAGCTCAGTTAAGCATCTGACTTCGGCTCAGGTCATGATCTCACAGTTTGTGTGTTTGAGCCCCGTACTGGGCTCTGCACTGACAGCTCAGAGCCTGGAGCCTGCTTTGGATTCTGTGTCTCTTGTGCGCGCTCTCTCTCTGTCTGCCCCTGCCCCCAACTCACATTTGCTCTCTCTCAAAAATGAATAAATTACAAAAACAATTTAATGAAAGGCTGTTAAATTTTGTCAAATGGCCTTTTCCATGTCAGCTGAGATGATCATGTGTTTTTTATCCCTTCTATTAATGTGGTGTATTACATCAACTGATTGTCCTATGTTCAATCCCCTTTTACATTTCTGGGATAAATTCCACTTGGCAATGCTATATAAACCTTTTAATGTGCTGTCGGATTTGGTTAGTTTTTTTGTTGAGAATTTTTGTGTTTAGATTCATTAGAAATCCTGATCTCTAGTTTTCTCTTCTTGTATCTTTGTCATTATTATCCTTTTGATTAAAAATTTTTTTCATGCTTCTACAGAAATCCCTCCATCTCTTCACATACCTAGCCTACTTCTACTAACTGGTTTAGTATTTTATTATGGTTAAATGAAAGACTCTTTCTGGTAACTCCAACATAGATGAAGAGGTAGAAGATCTAAGCCATCTCATCTCTAGGTCTGCTTCTACTGATTGTTTTCTTTTCACTGTGGGTCACACTTTCGTGTGTGTGTGTGTGTGTACTGTTGAGCATATACTGAACATTCTGTATGACAGACTTCTAAAGACTCAAGTAGAAATGTATTTACCTCCAAAAAGAGGTATGCGATTTCTTTTGTCAGGTTACAGTTCTTAAGCTATGTCTCGTCTTTGTTGCAGATTTAGTCTCATTCCTCAGCTTTGAGTTAGTCGCTTCCTTATAGTTGGTGGTCTTAAAAGCTTCAGAGAGATTTCTCTCAGTAATCTCCACTGCTAGTTTTAGCCACAATTGGGAGAAAGATGTGTTCCATGGCTGCTTTAATACATTGAACCAACAAGGGAGCGACATGATAATATAGGTTGCATGAAGTCCATTTTTCAGTATGCAGAGTGGAGGAAGTGTCCAGCACTTCAAGGCAGTACTGGAGTTTCTGGCACTCAGTCCCTAGCACTGTCAGAACAAGTTGTGGTCACGAGTTACAGTGTCAGTGATGTTTTCACTACAGCAGTACTGGGTAGGATGGCTAGACAATGTTCTAGACCATGTAGCTTCCAAGCGTGAGATTTTATAATACCCTTTAAAAAAATTATCTTCTATTTCTGTACTATGACTTATAAGTTATCCTGATAGATGATATCAAATATAAAGTGCCTAGTTATGTCATATAGGCAGTGA